CTTTTAAGAAACAATTTAAAATGCCTTTGCAACCTGACCGGCGCTGCCTTCTGGTTCTTGTGGCTCATTTCTGCCCTCTCCTTTCTCGCTCGCCTAAGAAGTCACGTCTCCCAGGATGCCTGGGCCAGGCGCACGCACATGCATTCCCGCCGTGACTCTTAGCCATCCCCTTCAGAGCAGTGATCACAAGGATCGATAACTTTCTCCTTTGTGCCTCTTTTCTTGCTGAGTGGAAAGTCTTGGAGGCCTAGCTAATTCTTTACATGCATTGTAAACTGAATCTGCCTTGAAATAAAGCCCCATGAGGTAGCCATTATTATTGCTGGGGTTTCAGAGAGGAGAAACTGAGGCACAGTGAGATTAACTCAGCGGCTATGTGGCCGAAGTCACAGAGTCCGGCTTTGAACCCCGGCTCCTGCGTCCCTGCCTTCAGGCAGCTTCGGGCCCTGTTCGTGATGATGATGTTTTACACTAGTCCTCATGTTTGCTGCCTTCTGGCTGTTTCCATTGACCTTGACCGTGCTCCTGCTCCTGCTCTCCTGACTCCTGGCCTGAATGGTGCAGTTTTTAACAATCCTTCTGCCTCCATTCTCTGCCCCTGCACGCGAAGCCAGTGAATATTCCAGACGCCCAGCTCTCCTCGGGGAGATCCTCCTGCCCCACAACCTTGGCCTAAAGCAAAACTAAATGAATTCAAGGGAAGACAAGAAACCAACAATTTATGAACAAACCAACCAAATTTATGAACAAATTCATGAACCACATGCAACTGCTTCTGTGTAATACTAATCGGTGAAGGGAAAGGCTTTCAGCAAGTGTAACGAGGAGGGAAGGGGGAAGGCGGGGCACCCAAATCAGCGTCTGCAATGGAAGACGAAACCTGGCCCGGTTCAGAGGAGCTCCGAACAACTGGAAGCCAGTTCTGGACACAACTGTGGGCTCACAACTTGGAAATTCAGGGGGACAGTGATAATGTTTGGAAAAGTTTAAACGGTACAAATTGCCTTAAGGAGAAGGTTTGAGCACACAAAGAACTATGAACAAAACTGAAGGAAAGCTGTGAAAGAGCTGCTCCTACGAAAAATACCCAGCCCCTGTGATCTTAATAGGCGATGCTTTCCAGCAACTGATCCTTGTGATCATATTTCAGTACTTCCCAAACATGGAAAAATATGCGAAGGTAGTGATAACATTTTGTGAAGCACGTATAGCTTTGACATTTAAACCTGAGAAATAGAAATCAACAATATAGACCAGTGTTAATTTTGAACATTAGCAGAGAGGACTAGCTGTTCATGAACATGCATGTTCCCCTTTGCACAGTACAGACCTATTGCTGGGAAATCTCTTTTCACCCAGGAGACAACTTGCCCAGCTCTACGTACTATTTTTACAATGGGACGTGAATGAAAGTGACAGGTTCATCTCCAGGTTGAAGCTCTTTAAACAGTTGTGTGGGCCTTTCATTCCTTCTTTCCCCTTCACTTCAGAGGACGGTGGAGCTCTGGGGCACAGGTTGGTAAGTTACGGCCTGGGAGCCTGCTCTGTTTTCAAAGATATAATTTTATTAAAACACAGCCATGCTCATGTTTTTACTTATTGCTATGGCTCCTTTCATGCTACAACAGCTGAGCTGAGTAGTTGTGACAGATAATTTAGGTAGCCTAGCTTATTTACTATCTGGTCCTTTAAGAAAAAGCTTGCCACCACGCTCTAGGGGTGGGGAGCCTTTTTCCTGCCAAGGGCCATTTGGATAGTTATAACTTCATTCACGGGCCACACAAAATTATCAATTTAAAAATTAGATATGAAAAAAATCCCTAGATTTATTGAATTTCGAGTCCCGCCTGCGGTTGCCTTGGCAGGGCCAGACCAAATGATTTCGAGGCTCCTTCCTTCTCACTGCTCCACCGTGGTGGAGCCCATTGTGCCTGAAAGACCTGCCACTCAGAAAAATTCTCTCTGGATTGTTTATAAATAAGACACACTTCTACAGTTAAGCTGCTGAGATTTTGTGGTTTGTTTGGCAGCTGCCATTATTCCAATCGATAATAAAGGAGATGCAAAGTCTCAAATAAAATTCTAGCAATTTCTAGAAAAGAAGAATCTATGTAAGGTTTTTTCCAGACGTGCAAGGTGATTAGGAAAGAGCAATAGCACATGACTGGGTCTAGGAAGAAAACCCACGTGAGCATCTTTTTATGCATGTTGAGAGCATTTTAAAAACAGCATCTGTCTTAGAAACTGCTCTTAGTGGAACAGGAGAGAGAAATACTTCCTAAGAATATCTGCCCATAGGAAAAGCTCACATAGATAGAGGTGAATGGCTACAGAAATTCCCATTTCTGATAGAAACGAAACAACAATAAATGTTAAAATCAACAACATAGTGAAAAGCATAACACTTAGTAACAGTGTGATACTACTTTTGAAGTCCCGGCAATGCAGCAATAATAACAATCTCCTACTATGTACTATATTAATCATTAAATTATATAGAACAATATTTTTGCACAATAGAAAGTAATATAAATTATATGTGCTTTATATAATCATACATATAGTTTACATATGATATGCATCTACATATGATGTAAATATTTTAGTCAATAAAATACATTTAACTTGATATGTATGATATAGTACACTATACTTTATAATTTGTAAAATTATAAATATAAATATCTAATTTATAAATAAAAATTATATATAATTTATGTTATAAATATTCTGCATATAATTTAAAAAATTATATTGTTCTATAAAATATTAATAAAACCATAATGTTGCTTTTCAAGTATCAACCAGTGCCTTACGGCAGGAAAAAACTGAAGCAGGAGGCAAATTTTTATCATCTACAACCAATCTGATTGTGTGCCTAGACAACCTAAAATAAACTGGCAAACCATCGAAACTATTCAGAAAACGTTCTCTCATAAACTAAATGTGCAAAATCAATAGGTTTCCCATACATCAGCAGTAACTGACTTTGCTTAAATAAAAGCATATTTAGGAAAATAAAAGAAAACTTGGATAGGTAAAGACTGTATTTTTGCCTCAGAATTAATATATTTTAAACACATGAATGCACCATAAATTAATCTATTAATTCACTGTAGTCCCAGACAAAATTCTAACAAGACTGAAATTGGCATGCGATAAACTGATTTTAAATTTCACCCAGTATATACTTGTGAGAATAGCCAAGAAATATTAGAAAGATCAGACCAATGTGAAGAAACTTATGAAGACAGATACTAAAACAAACTGTAAAATATATCAGTAAAACTGGATAAAACTAAAGTTAGATCTTTCTCTTAAACAATGCATTTAAGAAATTTCATATGCATTAAGGATCAAAATATAAAATTAAAGTATATAAATGTTAGAAGACAGTACAGAAGAATAACTATGCTCTTGAGCTAAAAATGTTTTCAATAAATATATTAAGGAACCATAAAGGAAAAGATTAATAGATTTAACTATATAGAAATTAAAAACTGCTATAGCTAAGGTATACTTTACACACACACACACACACACACACACACAGGCCAAGGACAAACTGTTACCAGGATGTGCCATATCTATGACAGACGCAGGATTAGCATTTTTCCCCTGTATAAATAGCTTTTACAAAGAAGTAAGGGAAGAAAATGCCCTTACTTCACGGAGTAGCCATGAGTTGCCAATGACACATTTTTCATGTGGAAAAATATAATCTCACCATAAACCAAAGAATGCAAATTAAAATGAGAGCTTTTCCTATCATATAAAAATTAATAAATTTACATGCATGGAATGGAATGTCCAAAGAAATGATAAGAGATGCCCAATGGAGATCTTTTCCCGTCCTAGACCTTATCGGGGTAACGACGGAGAGAGCGTGTGGCTGAGTGGGCGAGTCCAAGTCCAAAGGCGCAGGAGAGTTAGCATGAAGGGAGCAAGTGTGGGAGACGGTAAATCACAATGGCATGTTTAGGGCACTGACACGGTAGCATATTGCCTCTCCCAGAGTTGATATTTTCATATTTACAGGTTCCAAATACAAAAGGCATGTTGCCCTTGAATGGTTGGGTAAGAGCAAGATTTCAGAATGTAGACAACACACTTAATGATAAGCTTAATAATAAACTTAATGAAAATGAAGCTATCTTCATACATACTTTTGGATGATGTGTTGAAACATTTAAATGTATATTGCCTATTAAATATTTAATCCTTAGAGCTCTTTGTGGGCGTAATTAGGAGAAAATAAGTTTGCCAATGGGAATGCTAAGCTCTCTTTTCTTCCCTCTACCACAGTATTCCCAAGTTTCACCCAACACCTCTATGGATGGATTCAGTGCGCTCAGGCTGTTTGGATTCAGTTGCTTCCAATGGTTCAAAAAGTCTACAAGATGATTTTATACAGTTTATAATAGAATTAATATTCGTGTCTCCTCCTTAAATATTTGTACTTCAATTTTTTTTAGCAAATATGAGGATTGTCCAAGAGTTTTCACATGCTGATACACCCTGAACTTTGCTCCAGGGGCCTAGGAGTTGGGCAGGAATGGTGGTCTTCATCTGAGAGAGGTGAGGTGACTTGGGGAAACCTCACCACAGCAGGCGAGCTGGGCTGAGAGCTCAGGCCTTCCCATTCGGGCCCAGTGCCCTCTCTGCTCTGCCAGTCTCTTCCCTCTACAAGAGGAAGGCTAAAGACAGCCATGACCCCTAAGTGACGCAACCTTGTAGAGCGGATGCTTTGAGGATTACGTGAAGTCAGGTTCTCAGCCTGCTCAACAGGAACAAAATCCGTCTGTGTTAACGTGGCCTCGGAGGGTGAGTGGATGGGATTCGTTCCCCACGCTCAGGACCTCCGGCCATGGGGAACATCCTGGGACAGCAACCCATGGCATGACCTGGCCCAGGAGAGGCCCTCACCCAGGGGCCCAGCGCGTCACAGCATGGCTGCCCCCAGACCCCAGGCGCAGAGACAAGCATGCCGTTTGCTCTACCTTTCATGGCCTCCTTCACGGCAGAATTGACAGGGAGAATGTTCTTTTCCACCAGCTCCAGTGGCCCTGGCCGGAGAGCAATTTTTTCATTGAGATCATCTGCAAGTCGGGCTCTTTTCAGCTTCATCTGAGCAGTTGGAATGGACTTCTCTGCTGTGGAGGCTGAGGGGTTGAAAGTAAAAGGATCAGCTCTGGAATTCTATGTTATTTTTGTTGTTGTTGTTTTGCTTTTGTAACTGAAACATTGTGTCACATTGTGCTCTGCTTCCTAATATGTTTTCAGTGCAATCATCATCATTTCCCAAGGATTAGCAGCAAAGATTGGACACTTCCAAATACAGACAAATAGTGAGTCAGGTGCACAGAAAAGTTAGAGAAACTAGCTTTGTGAGGATTTCTGGGGAAGAAAAAAAAAAGTGCAATATGGTGATTCTGTAAGGAAGCAGTCCATGGGGCTACATTGCTTGCTGACCTGAGCTACAACCTTTGGATGCACGTTCTGTGTGTACGTTCCCTGGTACAGGGTGAGCCTGCAGTAAATATGACTTATTCTTATAATTAGTTGGAGCAGTGTGATTTCTTAAGGCTTTTATACTTGTCAATGTGATACTAACTGATTTAAATGTCCAGGTCAGTTGTAAGAGAAAATAAATTCCTTTGAAACAGTTATTTAATTAAACAGAGCGATTTAAAAAATTTAATTTATCCAACAAGCAGTTTGTGATCACTTGGAGGGTGAGAAAGGTCACTAGCTGAGCCCTAAACCACCCTATGTTTCCTGTCACTTAGGCCCTGTACTTCTGTAGATGAACTGGGAGGAGAAACTAGTCAGCCAGGTGCTGCTCTAATGCAGAGCTGTGGGGTAAGATCCCTTAAGAGTTTGCGGCTGTACTCTCAGCTCTGCAAATTCAGAAGGTGAGATATTTACAGACAAGCCTCTTAACTCCACTGTCCTGTTATTATTTTCATCCTACTAAGCCAGGCCTAGTGTCTCACCTAGAAATCTCCACACAGCAGATGTCTAGGGATGTCTAACTGTTGTAACAGGCAAACTTGTCTAGAAGCCCTACCTGCAAAGCACTTGCTGTGAAATGGAAGGATCTGGAAACTCCTCACTTCGGATCAGTTAATCAGTAGGTGGCTTTCTTAATCACTTATATTTATTGCGAGGATTCTCTTTTCCCAGCACAGAATCTGACTGTAAATGCAGTTCATGTGTATGATTTTTCTTGCCCCAATTTGATTACAGATAGTTTTTTGCTGTTGGTGGGTTTTTTCCCCACTAAACATCATCTTATAAGCGTTTTCTCACTCAATCATTATTCTTTTAAAGCCTTATTTGCGGTGACAGCTCACTTTATGGCGGTCCTTGCTTTATTGTGGTGGTCTGGAACCGACCCGAAATGTCTGAGGTGTGCCTGTAACAGAAATTTATCACTGGGTAAAGGGCAGACACGTCTTAAAGTGATGTGATGTATGTTGGATATTCCTTGTGTGCTCAGGCAGAGTTAGGAAGTGGCACAGCTTAGAGCCCAAGCCTGACCCCTTCCTAGGCGTCCTGTGGCTTCCCAATGTGATCGTCTAAATGGCCTAGAATGAATAGGTGACGGCTCAGAAGTACCAATGGATAGTGGCAGGGGCACCTTCTCAGGGGACTCGGCAGCTGCACGGAGACACAGCCCTGGCAGAAGGGCCCAGCACTGGGCGGGCACCTGGTGCGTGATTTCGGGCGGCCTTACCCTGGAGTATGTGCATATTAGCCGGGTCGGTGCGGTCGGCCCTGCTTCTGACCTTGCGAGGCGGGGCGTCTTCAGTCTGCAGGCACAAGCAGGAAAAACTGTTACGAACCACACAGGGTGAATCACCTAGTTTTAACTTGCAAAGAAATCTGGTTTTTCTCAAAGGGGAGAGTAGTCTTTTTATGACAAATGGAACATGCAAATACCCCTGGTCTACGTTTTGATGCAGAAACACTTACAAAAATCTCTTTAGTGACTTTAGGATGGAATTTTAAGGAGGTAGAAAGCTTGGGGTCCCAGCAGGGCTACAAAGTGGAAGGCCAGGCAGGCACCTGTCAATGCATATTAATGAGATGGTGACGATGCTGAGCTGCCTGTATTACATTTAAACCCATTCCACTGCCTCTAAAGGGCCACAACATGAATCAGGGGCAGAGATGACACATAACCTGAGTCATGTCACATGATGACAGGTGTGCTCCTCCTGTTAGGCACCTGACTTCTCCCTGAGGATGGGTAAAGATGTAAACCCTGCAGATTCAGACCCACCATGAGTTGGAAGGACACTTAGAAACAGATGATTTGCTGAGTCTCCTTGCCTCCGTTGTAACGGAGCTGATGTGGAGGTGATGTGGGCCGAGGCAGTGCCACACTGGGCCTCAGGTCCCTGGTTTCTAGCTCTGAGTTTTTAATCCCAATATATTGGATCCCCTATTTGGTCCCTGAGAGGGGTCTGGGGACAACTCCAGTTCTGATTTAAAACAAAAACAAAACTGGCTGTTCTCTGGGTAGCAGGAACCACAGCCTGTCACAAGCACCTTTGAAGAGTCACAGAGCTCTGTTCCTTTCTCGCTCAGACTGGCTGCAAGGCTAGAACTGTTAGAGGAATCCTGGGAGGACAGCTCCGTGCATTTCCCTGTCATGTACAGTGCTGGTGCTTGCTAACTTCCATTTACATTACTCATAAGTTCAGGTGGTAGAGATCTGGTATGAAGGTGCAGAATGTTATGTCCCTTTCCCCCCACAATGCCTCAAAACCCAGAAACAGAAAGAGAAATAAAGTCAATGCCCTTTGCCTTAAGTAACCTCTAATAAGGTCCATATCCACAGGCCCCACCTGACACTGAACTGCATTAAAAAAATCTGATTGTTGCCAAGAAAGGGCTGTAATGAGGCAGAGCAGCTGCAAACCAACTGAAGTCTCTCACTTCTACTGCAGCCTTGCTGTGACCCTCCCCCACACACATCAGAAAGATTGGGGACACTTTTTAAGCTAAACAATAATGTCTTTAAAGCTAATAGAGTTGATCCCATTTCCAGCTTTCAGTTCCTAGGAGTAAGATTCCATATGGCACAGGGGATAGGAAACTCAACCAATTGGCTGAGTTTCTTGCGGAAATCCTACCTGCTATAGCCAAAGCTCCGTATTCGGGGACCTACACCCTGGAGTCTAAGTTCAGAAGGCAGTTTGCAGAAAATTACCTTGTCACTATCCAAATGCTTTCTTTGCTCATGGAATACAGTTGGGCCTTTCAGTGCTGAAACAGAAAGACAGACGTGAGCAGAGGGGCTTGGGGGGCTTGAGCAGGGGCGCAGCCCTGGCTGGTGCGCTGGCTGGTGCCCTGGCTGGTGCGCTGGCTGGTGCCCTGGCTGGTGCCCTGGCTGGTGCGCTGGCTGGTGCCCTGGCTGGTGCCCTGGCTGGTGCCCTGGCTGGTGCGCTGGCTGGTGCCCTGGCTGGTGCGCTGGCTGGTGCGCTGGCTGGTGCCCTGACTGGTGCCCTGGCTGAGCTGTGCACAGTACGGACGTGGTCACCTTTATCAGGCCACAAGCAATCGAAGAGGAAAAGCCTGGAGGACACCAGCTTCCCTAAGGCCACAGAATACAGAAGAAGGTAGAATTTAGGCCTAACACAGGAGGAGCGGCAGAGGCAAATGCGACAGGAAGAGACAAGGCGGCGACAGGGCATTCCAGGTTCCTGAGGAAATACAGGGGCCTGTGGGAAACGGGGCAGAAGAAATGCTCTAGTTTGAGGGGGAGGGACAGGCTGGGGTAAGTAACACCCTCTCTGACTTTGCTCTGCCCTTGAGCTGTGGCCTGTGGGAAGGGGGTCCCATATTGTAAGAAGGGATGGGTGCCTTGGATGTGGTATGTGGCTGGTTGGTAGGAACATGCGACTAAGAGAGTTGAGTAAGAAGCATGGAATTAGACTTTGAGGGCTGGAAGGGACCTTGGAGATAATGAAACACAACCACAACCCTGAGCAGGATGGGGACACTGAGGCCCACAGAAATTGGTTGACTTGCCCAGGGTCACACAGTTTGGGTTAGAGGCCTAGGTCTTCTGACAACCTGGCTTCGTTCAAGGTGTATGTCCAAGATGTTAAGAACCAGTGGACACAGGCCCTGGTCAGTCATACCACACGGCAGCTCTTAACCTCGACCAAACGCCAGCCTTCATTCCCTCCACCATTGTCTGTTTCTCACGGCCCCTCCTCACAGTGAGGTACTCAACTCTCGTGACTTAGCACAGAAGTGGGCCATCATCCAGCAAAATTCTACATTTTTTATTAGTTTTGCTGAACAATCTCAATCAGGAGCCACAATCACTCTTCATTATAAGTGACGAGGTTGATCAGAGATTACAGAACTGCGCTGAATATCTTCCTGTGTAAGTCTGAACAAGTGGACGAGCCACATGATCCAGTGCTAATATTCCTCCAACAGGTGTCCCATGAAGCTGCAGGCAAGGAAATATTCTTCCAAATTTTGGCTGGAATAAAAAACTTGGTTTCTGGCCAGGTTGGCACTTGGGGCTGTATGTGTGTGTGTGTGTGTGTGCGTGTGTGTGTGCGCGCACATGCACACCTTGTTCAGTTCTTAAGGTCATGCTAAATTTGAGCAGTTTTCACAAGGGTGTGCTGGACATTAAGCCAACTCCTTTGGAGTCCCGGCGGCTAGTGCTTTGGAAAGCACTAGCATGCTCTCTCTAAGACTCCCTGCCTCACCCCAGCATTGACAGTGTTATCTAAAGGAACATGCTTCTTTGCAAGACCTGCCATCTCAAATGACCCCTCCTCTTCCCTCCTTTGTCCCCACTCAGTGGCTCTGAGAAATCTTGTGGAGAAATGTGGAGTTTTACTGCTACACTCACACATTCTCTCTGATTTGGGTTTGGCCACCATCCTTAGTAAGGAGCCCCGCCTCTGCCTGCATTTGATCACAGCTGCGGTTTATATTGATGGGGTTCTGAGAGCAACTCCTGTTTCCCTAGGCAACCGGATCCGACACATCTGCTTGGAGTCCAGTGGGCCCTGGTGGATCTATACAATCTGAACGGCCAGGTCTTCGCCTGTGTACTTCATGCTGGTGTTCATCTAGGTAGACACGGGTGTGGTTTAACCGCTTAGAGTCCCGAAAAGGAACTGATCTCGGTGTGGCCTGGCTCAGTGGTTCGAAAGAATAACAGATCTGTTTCCTTACGGAGCAACCCCTAAGGGAACAGTATGACTGTACCCCGAGATAGCACTTACATTTCAAACTCAATTGGTGGTAATTGAGCTTAAGACTTAGGAGGCGTTTATCTGGTTCCCTTGTCCCTGAGGCTCTTTACCTCTTTTTAGTGGAGTTTATTAATTGTTCTAAGAAACATGGTGTTTCCTGTATCTCCGCTTGTCAAGCTATAATTCCTCACTTCTTGGTGTTAGCACCTCTCCTGTGAAATGATTCATACAGCCCAGTTCTCCCATGCCAGGAGCACAACGGTCTTCTGGAACCTTCTAACACAGGGTGGGAAAAGCTACGTCTGTTTAGCAAGGGGAGAAAGCCAAAGGGGCCACCACCCTGCATCTTACTGCACGCTCTCCTCCTCGGGGCTCAAGGGAAGTTATGTGGGGCACTGGTGGAGGTCACACCGTGGACAACTACCCGGCCATCGCCCTGCCACAGACACTTGCCTTTCCTGGGACTCCGGAGAGTGTGGGCTTGGCCTCCTCCCCTGAGGGCCAGCAGAAGCCACGACGCCCCCCGCCAAGTTCACATTTTGGGAAACACATAGAGGACCTCTTCTGCTGCCAACCCCGGGAGTATCAAATGGCAAGATTTTGTATCTTGGGGACCTTGACATTTAAGATTGAAAGGGAATTTGAATTTCCAAATTAAAAGAAAACAAGTCAGTGTGACTTATGGTTGTAAATTCACTCAGCCACACAGCTAGCTCCTTCCCCCGGGAGGGCGGTTAAGCGCTTCTCACGGGGGATCCACGTTCTCACCTCAGAGTTAGCCACCGGCTCTCCCCTTTCTGTCCCCGCAGCCCCAGCTGACCTGGGCCAGCTGCCCAGGTGTATAAACAGCCGCTTTCTTAGCGCTCAGGAAAGGATCCCAGGAAGAGAACAGGCCTCCTGCAGCCCTGCTCTGCGCTCTAACCTCGTGTCTTTATCAGGAGCCCAGAAAAGGGCCAAAGGAGATCATGGGCCACTTGAATCAGTTACGGAGAGGGGCCGGCGCAGAGCTGGGGCCGGTCCTGTGGCGGCTCTGAGCAGAGGCGGGCTGTGCCGCAGGACGGGCCTTCTCTCACGGGGCTGCTCACGCCAGGCCTGGGGGGAGCCCAGCTTCTTCAGTATTTTCAATAACAACCAAGAGGCACAATCAAAGGGCCAGTGTCCCGGGGCAGCAACTTGGGCCATGGTTTTCCAAGTGTGGCCGCCAGACCAGCATCTTCAGCATCACCCAGAAACTTGTCAAAAACGCCAATTATCGGGCCCCGCCCAGACCTACAGAATCCGAAATTCCCGAGGTGTGGGAGCCCGGAGCCTGTGCTTTCACAAGCCCTCCGGGTGATTCCGATGCGCACGTTTGAGAACGGCTGCTCAGGAGTTTATAAGGCCAGTGGGTCCTGATCTAGGGTCCCTGGGAGTTCAAAAGGGAGTCGTGATTTTTAGGGGTGGTTTTCAGTATTTCAGAAAGCTGAAAGAAAGGGGTGTGTTTTCCCAGAGGAAAAAGGCAAAAGGAACTGTCACTTTTCACTGCTGCTGCCTACATTCACAGCAACTTGGCTTAGTAATGGTTGTCCTCATGAAAATCATTGGTTGGTAAATTTATATGCCAGTAATTAATCAAAGACAGACATATGGGTTCATGTGTGTAGGGTTCTTTGGGAGGAAGATAAAACTAGTCTAGGCCCATGGTATAGGTATAACAGTGATAGGTATAATTAGAGAGGTCTTCGGTGACTAAAATTTTGGGAACCATCCATTTAGGCTCTGTCCTCATTTTGCCATCTATTTCTGGTATGGCCTTGAACAAGCTGATAGTCTTCCCGTGTTCTCAGTTTCCCGCTTAGAAAATGGGTTTAGCAGTGCTAGTTCTCTGCCTCACTTTTAAAAACAAATTGGATCGTGAAAACTTTTATTCCAAGCAAATGGCTCAGCTGTGAGTTACCACCATGCCCTGTACAAGTGATAACACTTTGGAAATTATATTCTCTCTCCAGGTTGGCAACAAATTGCCAATTCAGTACCCAAATGATTGTCTTACGGGTCTTCCCAATGTAGCTTTGTAATACGTAAGGCCTGGCTCGAGCACTTGGAGAAGTTGACGCAGCATAGATGAAAATTTTGGAATGTCTCAGAAGGGTACAAAGACAAATTCAAAGTATGCTGGTAATTACCGGTTTACGAGCTTCTAAGGAACAGGAAACCAGAAAGTTGAAGGAAAGGGGAGTGGAGAGAAGGAATTCAGGATTGTTGACCCAAATGGGTTTGCCACAAAAATCCAGGGTGCCTTTTCCTACCCCTGAATTTGGGATGTTAGAAAGAAGGGAAGAGGCAGACAGATCCAAACCCTTGTGCCGTGTCCCGCTCAAACAGCCAAGAGTGTGTGGTAGGTGCCGTAGGGATAAGCCAAGTCAAATGAATGCACCGAGGAAAGGAAGGAAGGCTGTGCCCAGCCAGCTTCTCAGAGCTATCAGGGAGCTGCGTGTGGTGTGGGTGCAGGAATTGCCTCTGTCATCCTTCTTGCTAGGCAGGGGTGTCACAGAACTCGGGGATTTACCCAGGCTTTGCGGTAAGTATGTGGCTGCTGTGGCTTGGATTAGTCTGCAAAACAAATAAAGGCAGCACCATTCATAGACAGCTCATGTATCATTAAATTCATTTACATTGCAGATCACGGAACCAAGCTGCCCAGACATCTCGTTCTGGCCAGTGGCATCCTGCTCGGGGTCTCTGTGAAGTCACAGCCTCTCTGGGGCCCAGTCCTCCACGATGCATTTCAGTTCTCTAATCTCGTTTTCTGTGTTTCAGGACAATAAACTAAATGTTCTCTCCTCTCCCCCCTGGATTCATGTAGATTAGCCCCACTTTTATAGCAGTGGGAGAGCGAGAAAAGTAATAGATTTCCTTCAATCTTCCCAGATACCCACTCCCACGTAGGGATGTAACATTGTCCAATATCGTTAATGGGAAAATGAAGTAGGGGTGATTTGGGGCCCCTTCTAAATTTTAAGCACTTTGAAAGAGAATTTATGTCTGACTATTCTGTGCTTTTCAGGGCCTTCCTCACAGCAGGTGGTCAAAACAGTTACTGACTGGCTCTATGATCATTTATTGCATCTAATCCATATCTCTGGANAGTTACTGACTGGCTCTATGATCATTTATTGCATCTAATCCATATCTCTGACCATCCGTCTGCACAACGGCTTCTGAAGTGGTTGGAATAAAACTGTGTCATTTAAGATTGTGCCTGGGAGAGCAATGCTCAAGAAAAAAAAGTTGTAGGTCGGGCAATTTGCATGAGAAATGATGAACAGGTCCATGGGTCTACAAGGGGAGGAGGCTGGCTCTGTCTTACAGCCAGGAGAAAGTAGAGAGGTAAGAGCCTTGATGTCCTCTTGAGCCCTGAGCCTGAAAGGGAGGGGCAGGGAAACTGTTTCTTGTGAATCCTAGTTGACGGTGACCACGTAGGCAACTTGAAATCTCCATTTTGAGATTCAGAGATAAGATTCTGGAGATAAGTCCAAACAATAAATTCTTAAATATTTCTAAGTTAACTTCAAGAAGATTATTTCACTGAGATGTTATGACTATTTTGAAAGTGTGAATTCCACAATTGATATTAAATGTAAAAGCAATCTTAGGATCTGGCTTAGGTCCATGCTCCTGGTCTGAGAACCCTTTTCCCACTGTATGAAGTTATTCTAGGGGTTCAGTGCTGGCCTCAGAGCCCTGCCCTTCTTGACTAAAACTCAAGGAACAGTGCCCTTAAATTCAATCAAAGCACCTGAAGGGGAAAATCCTAACCCTACAATGCCCACAAGTAAGAAATAAGTAAATGCTTGATGAAGTGATTAAGGGGGATCTTACAAGAAAAGTTGTCCCTGGTTGATGTGGGCTCTTTGTTACTCATCGGCAAACTGAAAACCTACAGGATGCCCAAGGTCAAGGAAGAAATGGAATTAAATCCATTTGGACTGGTTTCACTAGTCAACTGAAAATTACACATTGTCTGGTTCGTTGGAGTCAGCGGGGGGAGAAACCTTACAATTTCACCATCAACTTGGCATGCAGTGGAGGTGAGATCTGCCATAGCTAAGGCAGCCTTGGTCCTGGTGAGGCATAGATTATGATGTAGACCCTGGAGCCATTTCAAATACCATCGGTTTGTTCTTGTCATTTATATATGTATGTATGTGTGTGTAAATATATTTTTTGCCCACAAAATGCTTTATGGTAGAAACTTAAGTGCTTTAAAAGTTCAAGTGATTCCTTTTGAATATTTGAAAACAAAGCCCCGTGCAGGATCAGCAGATACCAGGTCTGGCCTCAGCTCTGCCGCAGTGCACAACACGAGGGGATGCATTTTTGCAAAGGACAAGCCCTTGAGATGTAACCGAATGCAAAACTCAAGGCTCCTTCTGCCAAAGGACAGCAGGTGCTTCTGTCGAGCAGCTAAAACCGGGGGTGCTGTACAATAACCGCACTAGATCAATTCACAATTCACTCGGCCATCAGCTTTCACGTTAGGCAATTTATGACGTTTTAAAATTGGGGGAAAGATTGCGAATATTTCTAACTTGATGATAAAGTGAAAATTTTTATTAATAATTTTATTGTGCCTGCACTTCAATCCTCGCAATTCATATTTGCAGAACTTATAACCACATGGGGACTGGGCTTGGGGACATGTGAAAATTTCCTGAGGCTTCCTCTACATCAGTTTTACAAACGTTAAAGACAACGGGACATGGGCTCGGTCAGTGGTTTTCAAACTCAGCCCTGAAGAGAACCAGCTCTCCAGGGAGGATGCCAGGGGGCATCTAGAAGGGATGAAGCTGGCCGAGCAATGGGGCAGAGGCCCACCCTGCCGCAGCCGGCACGTTCACGCACAGAGTATCTTTAACAAGGTACAGAAGTTGAAAATCACAGAACTGGATGATTGCTAAGGATCATCAGCTTTTCTTCCCTCCATTCTACCCCCTTCCTTCCACCTCTTCTGTTCTGTTTCAAAAAATTCAAATAAAAGAACGAAGAAATAAAAAGCCCTCACCTTGATTTATACTTATGTGTATTTTTCGCCGCTTCACCCTTTCTCCTGAAATCTCCAGCTTCCCTGAAAGGCTGCCTTGCTCACCGCTGGGCCTAGAGTGCCTGGCACAGCATCCTGCACATGCTCTGGTGTGAAATGTGTTGAATTTGACTAGGCTGAAAAGCCCCTGGGACTGTGGGGTCCTCTCTCCCTCTCCCCACGGGGTGCTTTCGGGTGGCTGAGCAAGCTCACTGCTTTAGACTTCGGATTTAACCTCTGAACGGGCGGAAGAGGGGCCCCTCCTGCCCCCCCAGTCTCCGGGCAGCTGAAGGTGCCTGGGCCTGGGCCCAGCTTCCCAAGGCGGGTGGTGAAGTTTCCCCAGGCTGGGCCTGCGGGGTGCGCCTGCTGTGGCGTGGACGTTTCCCCGCGGAGACGCGACACCCTTGGAAAGCCCGGCTGGGAGACGTGGCAGAAAACTGAGGAACACTGATGATGTTTACTTTACCTTTATCATTTTGCTGAATTAAAAAGAAAAAATCATTTTCTTACTCATGGGACTTTTCCTGGTAATTATCTTAATGATATGATGGACTATGGGTACAATATTTCTGTCCAGCAGAATTTCACTCATTTGTCCGCTATCTGATTCTGGAAACCCTGGAAGACAAAATACTCCATCCCCATTGGCCCCTACTACACAAATGGACATTTGATTTTCCCAATTTCATAGAGGTGTGATTGTAAAATGTAACATAGGGTTAATTCCTTTCTTATTCGGTGTTTTTACAGCTTTCCAGAGATTTAATCCCATTAACCTCAAAAAAATTAAAGTTTGCTCTCATCCAAATGGCAGCTGCCAGACCCAGGGTCAGGGAACTGAAGCACAGGGGTGGAACTAAGTTACTGTGAAGAGCTGGAGCTGCCATAAAGGCCCTGGGTCTACCCACTCCATTGGCCTTTTAGAATGAAGACAAAGAAACACCAGGGAGGGGAAAGGTTATTTTAACACCATTCAAATCGGTGGCTCATCCTGGATTTAAGGGCACATGCAGCTATAGACTGTGGTCCGCTGCATGGATCCTAGTGGCTCTGCACCTGTCCACAATCTTAGTGAGCACATCTTCGAGACAATGCTGAAGCAAATTCAGTTCTGTACATTAGTGGCAGGGTTCCTGGAAAGAGCGGCGTGGTCAGCTGTGAGTGACGCTGAATTTAATGGATCTGACCTGAAGTCTGCCCACCTTTGGTCTCTCCTGGCTCGTGCAGCCCCCGGGCAGCCTGACGGAGACACGCAGGCCACCTACAGGCGTGCTCTTTTGGTTTCTCAACATCGTTGCACATATTGTTTAAGCAGCTTTTAAATTGCAGGCTGGGCTGTCTCTTTTGTGTTCAGCAAACTTCTAATGAAGTTGGTCCACTAAAGCTCACCTGCTGCCTACTGTTGGGAGGGTTGAGCCCTGAACAAAGAGTGACTTTTGAAACGCAAAGGAAAAGGCCTGAAAAATTCTTAGCTCTGCCGTGGCTTTGAACCACAGTATTATACTGGAGTTTTCAGGCCTTAAATCACAGGGCTCTAATAATTCCTAATTGCAGGACACTTTATCAGGGATGAACTTCCACTCGTTTCACACTAAACTCTGAAGTACTAGTCATGACAGGGACCTAGATTTCGGCAAGAGTCATTAATTTTTAAATTTTGTTGGAGGGGAAGCTAGAAACTATAACCTAAAGAAGCTTAAGCTATGACTTCCTTCACCCACAGCGCCCTTTTCTATAGAAAATCAACATTAGCCTTAATTGCTAAATTGGTAGAAAATTTCAAATATATCTTCTAAGAGGTAGGATAATCTTTCATCTTTGACCCAAATTATGGCCAGCAATTGAATATTATACCATTTATGCTAAAATGCTATTGCTACTCAGTAATCCAGAAAGGTAGAAGCCCTTGGCAATATTCAATTAATTGTGGACCCAAGTATCCCAAACAGAAGTGAGACTGAGGAGGCAAGGAAAAGACGATGCAATGAATGCTTCTGGAAAGAATAGTAATTATATCCAATTTTAAAAGTAAGTAAAGGGTGAGGGATGCCCATAGTGAATTGTGTTTACCCTTAAACCAAAACTACCACATTGAAATTTGGGGGAATCACCCACCTTGAGGGTGAGTAGCATTTCGGGCAAAGCATCCAAAGTCTGGGATTTCTGATGGTACAGATTCTCTGAAGATCCTTGGGCTTAGACTAATGACCTCTGAGGTGCTTTCCAGCGCCCAAATCCCAGGGTCCCCTGTAACACGTCAGTAAACAGGAGAGGGCTACTCACGTGGTATGAGGCCTTGGTGAGCCAGCTGTTCCTGGGTCCTTCTCTGTTGAAGTCGCAACTGCAAAACTTAGAAAAGGAAGTGTTGGTGTGTGAGTTAGGTCAACGCGATCGCACTCACTTACACTGACATCACACTTTTTTGCACAGCTCCTCTCACTTTACTTCTAGAGCGGTTGTGAAAGTTTGTGTAAGGCACCCACTTCTTTCTGAGTCAGACACAGAGAAAGAAGGGTGAGAGCCTAGGGCGAGAACACTTGTCCCCCCTCTGAAGTGAATGTTGTTTTCAGGGCACCGAGCTCCCTCTGTCCCTACTCTTCCGCTTGGGAGATAAATACCATCAAATTCTTCAGGGAATTTCCCGGTAGTTTCAAGGGGTGGGGGACAGTAAAGAAAGCACAGGCTTTGGAGCCTCAGGTGGCTTAAATTCTACCGCCAGCCCCTCCATGGGTGAGTAACTCTGGGTAGGGCCGCCCTGACCTTCAGTTTCCTCATTTGCAAGTGGGGACAATGTCTACCTTGTAGTGTTGCTATAAAGTTTGAAAAAACAATGTATGCAGGTTGCTCCGCAGAGTGCTTGGAACAAAGTCAGTCATCGATAAATGGTAGTATTATGAGACTCTGGAATCCACTGGTAAATTCAAACAAGGGCTGCTGGTGTCATGCTTCGCTTAGAGAAAATGAAACACTGTAAATTGTCCAAACTATACTCTATTTTATAAAATTTATGTTGCTCTCCAAAGCACAAATAGATTATATATCGTATACATGTATACATATAAGTAGTGTATATATGTGTGCATGTGTGTGTGAGTGTGTTGTTGGTGATTTTTCTTCTTCCTCTCACCCCTCTACCCCAAACACATTCTATCTTTCAACATCTATCTTCTCCCTTATTTATATTCCATTTTCTCAGGGCCCTTCTGAGTTTGCCATCTTGGTTCCTGGATGTAAGTTGTTCAGAATAAGCATAGAAAGAGCAGATGTTTGTCTACACTGGAAAAGAAGGGGACTCCTCAGTGGGTCAAAACTATAAATAATCTACGAGACGTGAAAGGAATAGGGGATTGGATTAGAAAACTATATCCCAACACATACATGGGTGAGTAACTGAAAGCTGTGCCAAGAAGCCTTTCTGCCCAGGAGTGGGGGAGGGGGGTGTCTAAGGCTCAGTCTCACAAGGTTGTTGGTTGGGGCACCAAAGCAAGAGGTCCACCTCTACCGGGTCCTCCCCACATTAGCCCAGGCACAGCCTCTGGGCTATGGGACTGCCTCTCTGCAGGTGGGAGCAGCAACATGGCATCTGGGAGGCACAGGATGAGCTTTCAGATTGTTGGCAATACCCAGGAGGGTTAAGAATCCTTCACTGTCTGAAACTAGCTAGCGGTCATCCTGTGCCTCTCTCCCAATCCCTGGAATCAGGTCAAAACACGTGTCGGCCACCGGCCTCTCCCCTGCAGGCCGGGCGCACCTGTGCATCACACGCTCTAACAGGCACCCACGCAGGCACATGTCGAGGGTGCCGCTGAGGATTACCCAACCTGGGGGGAATGTCAGCACGCGAAAGAACTCAACCGAAGAGCACATACTCAAGGTTACCGGGTAAACAAATGCAACGGGTCTTCCTCAGAGACAGGCAAGAGAATGCTCATTAATTAAAAATAAACTAAGCCACTTAACATACATTAGGATGGCTACTATATATATGTACAAAAAATAACAGGTATTGGAGAGGCTGTGGAGAAACCGGAACCCATGCGCACTGTTGGCGGGGATGTAGAATGGGACAGCCACTGTGAAAAGCAGGAGGGCGCCCCTCCGTACATTAAAAATAGAACCATTCCGTGACCCAGCACCCCCACTGCTGAGTACATCCAAAGGAAGTGAAAGCAGAGACGCGGACATCCAAGTTCATTATTCACGATGACAGAAAGGTAGAAGTAACCCGAGTGTCCGTCACCAGATGACTAGATAAACAAAATGTGGATACAGGGGTGGGCAAAAGTTGGTTTACAACAACTAATGAATTAATAATGCAAGAGTAAACTCTGTTTCATGTGCACACAACTGTAAACCTCCTTTTGCCCACCCCGTACATGCAATAGAACATTAGCCTTAAAAAGTAAGGAAATTCTGGCACGTGTTACAACATAGATGAAACTGGAAGTACATTATGCTAGGCGAAATAAAGCAGTCACAAAAGGACAAATGCTATATGAACCCACTTATATGGGGTACCCAGATTAGCCAAATTCATAGAGAACAGAAAGCAGAAAGGTGGTTGCCAAGGGGTGGGGGGCGGGGGCAATGAGGAATATTGTTTAATGAGTACTGAGTTCCAGTTTTGCAAGATGAAAAGAGATCTGAAGATGTAAATAGATTTAATGCCGCTGAATTGCACACTTAAAAATGGTTACGATGGTAAATTTTACATTATGTGTTTCATGAAACCTTTTCAAATTGGAAAAAACAAAGATCAAAGTAAAGCTTAGTTCATTAAAATAAACAAATTCAAATGGATGGCTAAATACCAGAATTAATATGAATTAGGAAGTCTGGAGATTGAGCTAAACTGCCCTCTTAGAATGCAACGCTGAGGAGTAAAGGGGCAGAGTGTGAAATAAATACCCAATCGGTTGCAAAATATAGAAAAGCTTCCAGGCAGGGAATAAACACTCCCTGCTGACCTCGAGGGAACTATTATTACTATGGGGCTTATGATCTTGAGGCTGGAGGTCCTTCGTCCTGTATGTTTATATGGGATCATATCATAAGTTTTCCTTCATTACTGCTTCCTGTTATTAGCTATACATCACGGATATAGTCCCGTGTGATTTAACGCCCTCCAAAACACACTATTTTGATAGCTGCCTTGTATTTTTTTTTTTTTTTTGGTTGTTCTGTAAAGTATTGAACCAAATGCCCATTATTGGATATTTAGTTTCCAATACTTTACCCTGAAAAACAGCAGTGGCCATGCCCTGTAGATAATGTTGGGCCACATTCTCAGCACTACTAGAGACACCCTTCTAGACGCGGGGCTGTCCCATTTGAAGCGTCAGATTGAAGTCTCGCGGTCAGAAGGCAAACAGCCCTCCCGAAGGTTGTTCCGATGCTCGCCTCACTATGAAGTGGCCGGCTGCCCACCGCCCTTGGCCTTGCTGCTGTCCCCGCCCGACAGCTGCTGTCCCCGCCACTGAGGCCTGAGGCCTGGCAGCCAGGGCAGTGGACAGAGAGCTGGGGCCCGGGCATGTTAGCAGTGGGATTTGCCCCTTGGTGGCGTCTTCTGCAGGTTTGGCAAAGCTCGGGGGCAAGGGGTGGAGTGTGAGTGACCAGGCCTCTTTCTGTGGCTGTTCCTCCCCGCACCTGCGAGAGCCCCACGCCCGCGGAAGCTGTGCTTGGCGAGGCAGCCTTGCGCTCGGGCAGGGCATGGCCTCGCCTCCTCCCCCACTGTCCTTTGTGCTTTGCTGAGGAGCATCCCTCGGCCTGCGCTCAGCTTGCCATGGCCATTTGGGTCCCCAGCCCCGCCTGCTGGCAGACCTTCACCGACCCCCGTGGCTGAGAACACTGAGCAGAGGGCTGCTGTTGGGCCCAGGCCTCCCCAGCCCCAGGTCTAAGCACCTGCCAAGTGTAGGGGTTCGTGGATTCTCGCTGCCCCTCTGGGTGGGAAGGGGAGCGAGTCCTGGTGCCTTTTCCACGTCACCCTGTTGTGCCCTTCCTGGTTCTGACATTTGGGTGTCCATCTTTGTTAGCTTCCAGAATCCAAGTTGTTGGTTTTTTTAAAAATCTGTTTTTGCATTCTTTGGTCAGAATTTTAAGTCACATGTTTGTGCTTGCGTTGCCTCTTTCCTCAGAAGCTCTGGGCTCTCTATTCTGATTTCTCGTCTGCCCGCTACACTTGTTCAGAACTACATTATTTCAATTATTCTAGATGCACGATAGATTTTCATGGTAGAGAGAAACTTACTTACATTAGCCTTTTTAATAGATGCTTCTTGACTCCTCTAGCCTGCCACCATCCACCCCTGCCTGCCACCATCC